GTGGTGGTGGTGGTGGTGGTGGTGGTGGTGGTGGTGGTGGTGGTGGTAGTGATTGTGGCTTTTGGTGGTTCGTGTTTGTTCGTGTCTTTACAAAAATTCTTTCGCGTTGTCCCGCGACAACACAAGACTCCCACCATTTCACACGGGATCACAGCACACCCGACACGGGAACCGAAAACACCGGACGCGAAAACCAGAAACACCGGAGACCTAAACGCACGGAACGCGGGAACCGAAAACACCGGACGCGGGAACCGAAAACATCCGCGCATTTTTTCCCTCTTCAACGCAAGGCCGGTACCGAAAACACCATCACAGGAACTGAAAACACCCGCGGGCACTGAAAAAACCGAGCCGGGCACCGAAAACACCGCCGCGCGGGAACCAAAAACCCACTTGGGAACCAAAAACACCGCGGGAACCGAAAACACCAATCCGGGAACCAAAAACCCGGAGCCCAGGTTCTAGTCTGACTCAGCAAAGTAGCTCCAGCTGAGAGTCATCAATAAAACTTCCCATATGAGATCACATCTGAAGAGGCTTTTACAATCCATGTCTCTTTGATTCATCAAGACTCTATACTCTATTAATCCACTCTTACCATAATCAGGATATCATCAGGGCAAAAAACATGAGCAAAAAGATGTAGAAAGTATCAATCCGTGTCTGGGGGGTTGATTCATCACGAGTTTAGATATCACCATCAGGCCATCAGGGCAGAAAAGGAGTAAGCAAACTCTCAGTCAGGGGCCGCTGGTCAAGAGGGTCAACCTCTTAGATGGTGGAGCCGACCTCCCTCACGGCGAAGGGCGAAGTGCTCGGTCCGGCGGGTCCAAGTGCAGAATGCCACCGAACGGTCCACCTACAACCCCCAAAAGGGTGGTTAATGGACACCCCGAATCACAGCTAGTTGGGGCTATAAATAGACACCCCTAGCCTGGAGGGTCCTGGTACAGGTCGTGCTGGTGTTTTTGGCATCCCCAAATCCAAACAAAGGTCCTCTCCGGGATCCCGGGCGCCCATCCCGGGCGCCCATTCCATCCATGGCCACGCATCCGGGATGGCCACCGGTGAAGATGAAGATCCGAAGCCGGGAGCCGCTCGGCTTCCGGTGACCGGCCTGGGTCGAACATCCCAAACCAAGAGAGGTTGGTGACCTGAACTAAGACCCCACTGGAGTACCCAACTGGGATAGTCGAACGACCTCGGGTCCTGACCCACCTCTGTTGGAGGTTCTGGAGTGAGAGCTGACATATTTGGTGACCGAGACTGAGATTTTGTCTAGTCTAGTACAAGAGACATTTGGCAAGAATCTTGTGAGCGAAATACAGGCCAGAATCGGTCTGTCTTGTTGATTCCTTTTGTCCGTGTTTGCAAGCTCCAACAGAGGCAAACATACCGCTTTTTGTTGCAGAACTGGCTTCGATGATTTCCTTGCTTTCGACCCCAGTCCTTGCTTGTACGGCCGGCCGCTGCAAGCCCTACGAATGTCTCCAATGACTGCATGGGTCTGTTTCTTTTGGGCACCCAGCACTGCAGCGCAAAAATGACGTCGATGCCGGTGGAGTTCACCGTGTTCCGCCAAAAAAAACCGCAGGCATTTGTCCCATGGCCAGAAAACCTCAGCTGAAAGAAGGGGAGAAGGCGCGAGTGTGTGCGGGTGAACGGCCCTTGGACCGTGCGGGATCGGATGAAGATGGAGAAGTTCGTTCTCCAAGTAGTTCAGGGTTCTTTTTGCTTTGTGCTGTCAGCGGTTCAGTCAGGGTTGGGCCAGCAACGTACTTGGAATGCATGTTACTCATCCCCAGGTCGTTCCCTGCTCTGCCCTCCAGAGCAAGTAAGTCGTTTGCTTTTCTTATTCATGTCTCTCCCCTTTTGATGTCGTGTCTATAGTTTATTTGCCATTTAGACACAGAACAGGTAGGAGGGTTTGCGAACTTTAATTCGCCAGCTGAAGCGCGCGTGAACTGGTCCTTTCAGTGAATTGGTCTACTCCAACAAGCCCAAAGAGATCCAAAAGAGCCGCCACAAGACCTCTACCAAGCACTTGGATCAACTCACCCTGCTTCTTCGGCTTCATGATCTGGTGGTTCAACTGATCGGCCTTATCCTCTGCCTCAGAGCTATAGAAACACTTCGGCCTGTTGAGCCTTCGCACCCCATCCACCCGCGGGACGTCCATCCGGGACATGCGGACGGCTCCGTCATACCGTACGTCCGTCCACGCGACACGAACGTCATAGGCTCCTGAGCTGAAAGTGCTGATGTTCCTCATGTGGGAGGAGCGGGATGCAGAGAATCCTTTGAGCTGGGGCTCGACAATGTAAGGTAGGCTCTGATCTGGGAACTCCGCTTTTTTCAAACTTTGCTTGGCAAAAAGACAGGGCGTTGATAGGTTTTGGGTGAGTTCCAATGTTTTTTTTTTGAATTTTTGAGCGCGTGTTCTGACTTTCAAAGCAGCAGCTAGGCTTGCAAAAGGACCTGAGCGGCAACAAGCTGCCAAAAATGCTCCGGGCAGGCAATATAAACCCTGAGGTTGACTTTGATCTAGGAGCCTTTGTTTTCGACCGTCACGCCCTATTCAGATCCCTTTTTTGGTCGTACCAGGGGTTTTGTCGTGAAAAGGGGGGGATCTCCAGGCATTGGGTCCCCAGAGCCACAGGAGGGTGAATCGAAAGTGAGCGCTTCTTTGCTGCAGTTCAGCTGGGGTTTGGATGGTTTGGGGTAGAGGTTGTGTCAGAGGAACAACCCCGGTCACCAAGGATTTCTGGAAGAAACTGAGTGGAGTGGATCCAGTGAGAGGTTTAGCTTTTGGGACATGTAACCCCTTGACGTCTCCCCAAGACCGAAGAATGCCTGTCTTTGAGTGGTGTAAGTTCGCCAAACGCCAGGGCGCTTATGTAGAGACTCTTGCGTGGACGGTTGCTTGATTCAGACACCCGTTTCTTTCAAATTCGGTTGTGGGGTTGATTTGGAATTAGGGCAAAAGGAACACCGTCACGCAATAGTCACAGGCTTGATTTGATATTACAGTACTTCTTTAGAAGACTGCATGCACATGCCTGCCAAGTACAATGCAAGATGCCACTGTGACCCTCAAAGACTGGGGCATAGATCTAGCCCAGATGCAAGATGCCACTGGCCTTCCCAGATCTATCATCCTTTTGTATGGTTCTCAAAACGTGTTGTGAATTCTATAAAACATTATAACACGTACCATGATCTAATATGACAACCATTTCAGCCTTGAAGATTGATATATGGGTTTATAGAATCCAACTGAATTTCCGCTCGCCGACCACCACGTGATGACCACCGGGTGATGGACACCACCGCCTGCACGGAAACAGACCTGAGCTTCCAACGACGGATGGGTTCTCCGACGCCCGAGATCCAGGTCCGACCCGTCGGTTCGCGTTTTCACACCGACGGTCCGTGCATCTGTTTCTCATCTGACGGTTCAGATCCAAAGCGGATCTGGGGGATCCAAACGGGCGAAGCATTCTGGCAAAGAGGAGGACTCGGTGTGTGTGCATTGACCGAAAACGAGGAATGCCACATCTGAGAGATGCCACTGCTTTGCACTCTCATAGCAGTGGTGACTGTTCACCAACCAGTACACTTCCCCTGTATCACCCAGCCCCTCCATGTCCCACAGCCCCTCCACCGCCGGCACATGCCAAGCCTTTTGGACCAACCCAGCCCCCCCCGGGATCAAGGTGGGTGTGTATCCTCATCAAAGCCGCGACCTCGGTGGCAGTTGCGGCAGCTGCGGGGTGGGGATGGGTGGGGGGGGTGAGGGGGTTCCACTCATCTGGCGCTTCATCAACTCATCCCCTGAATGATCTCACCGGCCGCACACAGACGAGTTTTTCGGGGGAAGAGCATGGTACCAGGTTGACCTGAAAGCATCCCACCCGCGCTGGTAGCGTGCGCGCTGGTAGCGTGCCCCCCCTCAGTTCCACTTGGCCCCCTGGTCCCACCATGCTGGCATTGAGGTTGTGCCTCAATGGCTGATTTCCAAGCCACAGCGTCAACAAGCGAAATCTAAGTGATGGAAAGCCACCATCATGAACACCATCAACAACACCTGCTTATGCAATGTCATTTCAGCCCGTCCCTGAAAGCATAGGGGCTGGTGATGTGCCTTGTTAAAGGACCCTGAGGCAACTCCCCCACGCAGGTTGCCAGCTCAGCCACATCGGGTGTGGTGGCCGGCGGCCGCCAGTCTTTTCGGCACCTGGTTTAGGTCCACACTGGGCAGCGCTGGAGATCCCGGACACTTCCAGCAAGGAAGAGATCAAGGCCGGGAAGTAGGGCGACCAATACGGGTACGGGAGTCCAAGAAGAACGTTTCAGAAACCAACGAAGACCACCTGCTGGGTGGGTGAACGCGCAAGTCGTTGTGAATGTGTTCAAGATTGCTCTCTCTCTCTCTCTATGGATGGTGTTCTGTTTACAAAATAGTTCCTGTTTCTTTGTTTTTTTGATCGTCATTACCTTAACTGATAGTTTCCAAGTGTTTGTTTCCAAGTTGGGCGTGTGACCCTTCTTCCCCAACTTTGACCTTTCAAAGCCCATCCAGCCCGCGCCCTCGTTCAACTTCCATCCCGAGCAAGCGACAGTGGCTGGTGGCCACAGGCGCAGTACCGCAAGCTTTCGGTGAAGTATCATCCTGACAAGAACAAGGACCGGTTCCGAGTTCGGGATCTCTGCTGGAAATTCCCAAAGGAATGGGAAGGAGGGACGATTTCGACTTGGTTCAATGAACAGCGCATTTGAGTGGGGAATCAACGAAGAAATCCGGAGTCGTTTTCCCGCGCAATATAATACATGACCCCACCCCCCCTCAACCCTCTCCACCCTCTTCTTCGCTTCGCTTCTTGCCAGGAGGTGCCGCGCGAGAAGTTTCAGCGCATCACCGAAGCCTATGAGGCCCTCAAGGTGCGGCTCGGCTTCCCGAGGTCGACGCCCTTCGGCCGTGCGGATCGGTCCGGGACGAGGTAGAAGGACCGATGCGACGGGCTGAGGCCGCAGGCCACGAGCGGGTAGCGAAGCGGGTCATGAGTGATGGGACCGATCCGAAAGCACGAAGGACACGCGAAGACCGACATGGTGAAGAGACATGCTTCGCTTGGAAGGGCCTTCCAACTAAACATAAGAACAAAACAAGCTGTTTTTGGACACAGCCCTTTCAGTTGGATTGGATTTGGAGGAAAACACCTCCGCCTTCCCCCCTCTCTCTCTCTCTCCCTCCCTCCCTCTCTCTCTCTCTCTGTCTGTGCGTGGAAGGCGGACCCAAGAAATTGATGATGACTGGCCATTCTCATCCATTCTTTATGGTCCCGTCAGACATGCCAATGCAGACAGTCGTGCGTTGTTTGAGTTTCCATGTTCCGCGCTGTTCATCCCCGCCCCTGCGCAGGACACTGACGGGCAGCTGGCGTTTCCCTGGGAGAGCTTCCCTGAACGGCAGCAAGCGATGAAAGGCGGCCTTCGGGCGGCCCCCTCGGCCTTAGGGCCTTCCTTCAGGGCGGCGGAGATCCATGAATTGCATGTCCTCAACATCACCGCAAGAGCGAGGTCATGACCTTCGGGCCAAGTGTGCAAAAACCTGGACGTTGCTGTACCATCACGAAGGACAGGATCATGTGCTTCCATTGCTCGCCGATCATCTTGGGGTAACACCGGAACAATGACTGACTTGGGTCACTTGCACTGTCTTGTCACAGCCACTCCTCTTCGTTCGGACGTAGCAAGCTCCACGCTTGGATTCCAACCCCAAATGCCAGAGATCTTCAATCACCCCAGGCGGGGGAACCAAAATCCAGATAAATCCATATCTGCCAAGGGGCTGTTTTGGTTCTTTCGCTTCTTCCCCAAATTGGTGGCAAAACCCCGCGTTTGGCGCCAACTTCGCGCGCGCACGCGCCAACCCGCGCGCGAAGTAGGCCCAGATCTGATCCGTACCCTGGGCTTCTTGGGTGCAGAGGTGGGCCGGTGGGATGGAAGAGGGGCTGATGGGGCGACACATGACCAAGGCAGTGGGATTCCGAAGATGCCTTTTTTGGGGGCATTTGGTGCTTCCAGATGGTCTTCTCCAAAGATAGAGTAACATATAGTAATACCTAGATCTTCCAACTGTGCAACATTTTATGCCTTTTTAAGCTGGTTTTATGGATGAACAGGCATACATGTTGCACGTCGTTGGACGATCCAGGTATGGATTCGAGCGATTTCATGATACTCAGATGAAGGGAGATATGGAGAAGCACATCTTCACTTTCCTCGAGACGAAAGACATCTCTGCTGCATCTTGGACGCCTCATCGCATCGGTCATCTCGCATCGAATTCGTTTGGCACCCCTTTTTTTCACCAGACCGGAGAGATCTTCTTCTCAGACCATCCGGCGTCATCCGGAGTCGACAGAGACACCCGCCCCCCGTGGTCCGGCCGACGCGGGGGGGGCGTCCGACGGCCGTCGAAGCGCGCGGGGATGTGGGCAGAGCGCCTGCCACGGTGCAGGTGATGCAGCAGGACCCCATCAAAGCGCAGTTCATGCAGCCGCTCGGAAGAACGAAAAGAACGTGGAATTGGATGGAACTCTTGGGGACCTTGAGACATGCAAAATTTGGAAGAAGAATGGCCTAGCCCGTTCGAAACACCCAGATTGGGACCTGTGGAACGGCGGAAGGTTGCGATGACTCATGATGACCCAAGAGACGACCTTGTTTTGGGAGCGAGTGTGTGGTCTTCGAGGCACTGAACGATGCAATCACCAAGGGGATAAGGGGGTTCTGACCCATCACAGACCAATCCTACCAGGTCTTGCCATTGACATCAAGCGGCTGCCTGATCTTTGCCTTTCCGCCCTGCGCCCTCCCCCTCCAAGCAGCTACGCACCCCCTTCCTGCTTGGGAGGCAAGTGGTGAAGGAGGCGACCGATTGCAAAGTGCTGCTGCACGTCGCCTGTCAGCAGCGAGGGGAAGCAGCGAAGGTCTCAGGACGGGAAGCCGCAGCTGTGAGTACTGAGAAATGATCGATGAAAAGGATCCAGAAAAGGATTTGAATCGGTCTCTCCTGAAAAAAGAGTCCTATGATTATGATTCATATATATATATATATGTGATTCATATGGATGTGGTCTACTTTCGTTCGTAGGGTATAGTCCTGAAGATTCCTGAAGTATTCAAGGATTTGCTTCGATGAAAGATCTTGAACGACGGCATGGTCAGACCTTTTGCTGATTTGGTTGCTCACCACGACGACCTCGGGAAAGAGGCACTCGAAGCCTCCAAGATTGCATTGTCAGACCTCAAATTCCTGCGCTCCTATGCCCTCGTGAGAGGGTAATACCTCTAGACCATTGTGAAAAGGTTTGTGGCCAGTTATATGAGATGTTACAAGCCTCAAAAACACGAAGAACTTCAACGGAGGTTGCCGGGCCCCTGGGGTGTACAAGATCCAGATCTCCAAAAAACATATTTGGCTTGAAGAACTCCAGAGGCTGTGGGGCCAGGAGCCTGAAGTACAGCGCATCCGCAGAATGGCCAGGGGTTCTGTACAGACGCTGTTGGTCTTGATCACACATGAAGGGGAAGGTAAAAACAGGCCAACATCTGAGATCCTGGAGCCATGGGAGAGGGAATCCGCAGAAACTCAATGATGCCTGAAGCTGTGAGACCCACCCAAATTCGATCATCCGTCGGCGAGATCAGCTGTGGATGAACATCGCACCACTTTCACGTGTGCCAAGGAGAAAGAGACCAAAGAGGAAGACAAGACGCGCAAGGACTAGCCCTGAAGGGAAGAAGTTGCAGCATGAGCATTCCGTCAACCCATAAACCTTGACCCCTTGCTATCAACGGGCGTTTTGGAGTCTGTATTGAGCTTGTTCGTATACCCTCTGAGGGATGAGAGGTGTCCTGGGATCTCACAAGGAACAGGACAGCGGCCCTCTTGGAAAACCCCATTTCCTCTACTGGTTGGGCCTATGCCATTCATTGAGAACCTGGTGCAGGCCAGTTTCAGACCAGTGTGACCAGAAACACCGAGAAATGCGGCGCCCACGGACGAATGGAGCGGGGGATCCGGACGACGTGACGACCGCGGACGACCAGTCGATCGGGCCGGAAACTTGCGGTCAGATTAGCATGAACACTCACGTGATAATACTCTAACTCTATAGTGCCACGTGATACGCCGTGTGGTTTCTCTTCTTGGGCTTGCCCACACCAGTGATCAGTGACACTAACGCAGGAAGTCTGGGCCGATGCGCTCTGCGTGGACGAGCGGACGGGCGCCAACCATTTGGTGAAGGCGAAGCAAGGGTAGTGTAGACTTTTGATTCACACGCATATTTCAAATGATACTGTATAGAATTAAAATTCTTAGTGTATAGACGATTTTTTTCCTTTCGCGAATATTGGATTGGTCGATTGCTCGATCCTTGGTAGACTCTTGATTCAACAAACTCCCATATCTGGTGCGACCATGAGGGTCCGCAGTGTAGCCGCGACCTGGGGCAGAACCTTTCTCTTTGTATTAAGTCGCAGGGAGATTTGTGTCTAGCATCTTCTGGCTTGCTGGTGTGCACAATGTTTATGCCAGCCACTTGGGTTTTGGAGCACCATCAAACATCCAGCAAAGAAGAGAACAAACAGTTCTGAGCTTGCGTTGTTGGTATTTCTTAGCCTTTCATGACTTTTCTTGCTACTTTCATACATGGCACAAGCCAACTCCAACCCTCCAATATTCATTTCCTCCTGCCTCCGCTGCTGTTAATAACCAGATCCAACGATCGGGTTCTGTCCATCCGCAGGTCTACCGCCGGATCGTGCGCTTTACCGAAGAGTCACTGGAAAAGTCCAAGGACCGTGGTTCCTTTCGATTCTTTTCCTTTGTCATTCATTTCTTTCAATTTCTTTCCACTTCTTATATGGATCTTGCTTTTACAATTAAGTGATCGAACACATGCATGTTGGACCTATTATGGAACTGCGTGTGTAGCTTGAATAAGGCGACCACCAACCAGCAGGTAGACTCGGCAGAACTGTCTATTTTCCTTCGTCACAGGAGGGCCTCGAGGAGGTGGAGGATTGATCTGCAATCTGACTGGCGCTGCGAAGGGCTGGTTTTTGGCCTCTTAGTCAGGAACCATGGTCTTGAGGAATGACGGGTAGAACAAGTTGGCACCCAAAAAGAACAGATAAAACAGAATGAAGCTTGAGCGACTTGGTCACAAGAGTATTGTTGTACAAGACCTTTTGGAGCCCACCAAAAGGTCTTGTTGTCTGTTTGTCGATAAAGGATTCATTGTATTGGGGGATCCACTGATAGGTCAGCACGGCCACCCTATGGTTTGATGCAGGTACGCTCTGATCATCCTTGGTTCCATCGCTTCTTTAATATTATCCAAGGATTCTCCAAGAGATTTCGATCCGAACTTTCCGTAGAACTGTGGGCTGGAAGATGTTGGAGTTGTAGCTCCGCTCAGCCCGTTTCCATCAGGTTGTTCTATGAGCCAGACGCTATTTGAGTGTGATCCCCTATGGTCGCCTATGGTTGTAAACTTCAAAGATCCTCCTAAATTAAAGCACAAACGGCACCATCGACACTCAAGTTCACCAAATGGTCGTCTGATGGACTACAGTGACTGCACTTTTTCACCCTGGAAAGGGGGCCAAGACCGTTTCTAGGACATCGAACTGCAGACAATCAGGTGGGTTTGGTACGCCATCGATGCATCAACTGCTGCGTGCGTTTTTTTTCTCGAACATGCGCGCTGACGTTTTCCCGAGGGAAAACCCATGGAAAGCTGAGACCAGAGGGTGATAGAGGGTGCACATGTTGCCGAACAAGACGGGCCTGACCGTCAGAGGCCGATCACCAGGAGCACGCTGTGGTCCTGCGCCAGTCTAAAGATGTGGCCATTGTACATAGTTCGCGGTGGTTCAGGTCGCCCAAAACCGTCTTCGCCGACTGTGCAGGGGCCGAGACGGCCGAGACGGGGCCGAGACGGGCCGCGGGGTTCGTTGTCCTGGATGGGCAGTCCGCTTGATTGGTGCTCGTTGCCGGCTTGATTGGCGCACACAGGTGGTGCTGCCCAGGCCATCGCTGCAGATGCCCGGGTGCCCCAGAAGTCATCACTGAAATGGGGGTGCAAGACAGAGCTGCGGTCGAATCGAGGAGGATCAGGGAAGCTCTCCAAGACACCCGGGCCTTGGAACGTTTGGGTGCTATTTTTTGATGATGTTTGTTTTGTTTTACTTTTCTAAACCCAGTTGATCCATAATTTTCTATCACCCGCAGATGCGTGAGAGAAGGTACATGGATTGATAAGGTTGTTGGTCGTTCGGACACCCGCACAACACCAACCCACCCCCACAAGTTCGCAGAGGAAATGCTCATCCTTTGGATTGTGTGAGTACAGCACCGGTTAAGAGAAGGAAGCCAGTGCATCTTCTTCCTGACAGTACAGAGGTTTTAGGCTTCTGGGTTTTTCTATTCGCACAAAGATGCAAGTCTTGTTCATCTTGAAAAAGAAGGTCCCGCGCGTACTGGTAACCACGTACTGGTATATACCTCGGAAGCTTCTGAAGCTGCAGGTCTATTCTGTCTGAAGCTTCTTAGCTGCGGGTCTAAGGAAAATGGACAATGATTCCCCCACGTACTGGTACCTTCATGTCGAGGTCACCTACTGGTACCAGCCCCAGCCCACGACCTACAGGGACCTCTAGCCAGGACACCCCTTGAAGCTCCAGGTAGGTCACCACCGTCGGCCCGACCGTGTAAACAGGCGCCGCGCGTGGCCTTGGCCGCCATGGGCACGCACGGCGCGAGCGCGACGGTGGGGACGATAGAGCAGGGAGCGGTGGGGCGGTCGCGGGCGACGGTTGGAGAGGTGTTTTTCTTGTTCGTGTTTACGATATATTGAATAGTAAGTATTCCTGGTTCTTCCAAGTGACCTTTTGATAACCTGGTTTGAGGCCACTTAAGCCTCCAAAGGGTCACTTAGGAACCTTCAAAAGGTCACTTTGAAGAAGCTGGTTGGTAGAAAATGCACCTCCAGGTTTCCTGGCAAAGGTCTTCTTAGTTTGTTTTTGTCTCTGTTGGGTCTGTCCTATTACCTGTAACAGTCAGTAAGCAATTATCACTATTTTTGAACAAGGCCTTTACTAACCATCATCATCATCCATTTTTACAGGTATTACATAGGATAGACCCAATGTCTCTGCATGTTGTTCTCCAGAGGCTTGGGTTGTGGATGATCATTTTGAGGCAGAGAGTGGAGAGTGGAACACGTCTGGATGATCATTTGTCCCGCATTGCCGCACAAAAAGTGGCGTATAAAAAGTGGCTGAAGAGCCGGTGGTTCCTTTTCCTTATCCCGTAACTGTAACTCTCCGCGCCACTCGTCTGTCGCATTGGAGTCGTGGCCCATTCCCAGACGCGACCCATGGGACTGCCATAGGACTGCCGATCAGGCCAGGGGTGGTGCCATGAGGGGTCAATGTAGGCATATATGGCAGTCCCATGGAGTGTCTGAGATTGATTTCATAGAGGTGAGTCCCAAACAACCAGCTGTTTTACTATATGTTTGCACTACGAAGTACCCAGATCGTTTCCATTTTAAAGCCTGGTCAGAGAACCGGACTTCCAGGCCAAGAGTCTTTTTCAAGAATCTGGACTCGATCCAAGGGGGTTCTTCTACGTTTGGACGGGGGGGGTCGAAGCTACATATAGTTGTCTCCGAAAAAGCAACGCACTTTCCAAAGAACTTAGAAGACGCGGTTGAAGAGAAGGTTCCATTTTCCTCTTCACGCCTCTCAAGTTTTCGGAAAAACTATTTGTGCTACAAAAGGCAACCTTTCACCATCCCTATGTTTCAGAATCTCGGCTTTTTGCAGGTCCTTAGCGTTCTTTTCTTGACATGCGGCCGAAACTTTTGCCGGATTGAGGTCCGGCATTTTTCCCAATGCGTCTAGATCTCTACACTTTCTGCTTATAGACCTCACACACACACTGTTTGGGATCTCTTGCCGGGATCATTTTCATCTCAAAGGAAGATCCACTTATGTGGAGCCATGTGGAGCCATGTGCACCCATCAAGTCACCATCTCGCAGTTCACATCGCGGGGCCGATGTGGCGGTGGTCGTTCTACATGTCCGGTGCATGGACATGTCTCAAGTTGAGGAAGTCTCGTGGGCAATCGTTTTGGGACGCCAATCACCGATCAACATTGGGACGCCTCGTCTCGCATTGAAGCTGTACTGTTGCGGAGAGAGAGCCAAGTGCAGCTTCTTGCGGTGCAATTGAGCCTGCGCGGAGCAGGCTCAGAACTGGCCACTTCGGGGAGTAGCTTAACAGGCTGATGTAGTACGGGGAGTAGTTTCTGCATGCTTCTGCGACGTAACGAATTTTTGATTGGCTACTTTGTCGTGTTTACCACGTGTAGTGGGACACTTGGCTGTTTGGATCCCCTCAGAACTGGCAAGGCAGTGCACAGAGCGCAAATGGCGACCACGATGTGTCGGGTACCGCGACGTGGGGTCAAAGCCGCGACGTGCGGGGCGAGGCCTCGGTGGAGCTCCGGCGCGCCGACCGGCGGGTCGGGAAAGACCTGCGTGAGCAGCATAGTAGTTGGCGAAGAAATGACGTGTGTGTATCGTAGTTTCATCACGAAAGGTAGCGGTTACGCTACCTGAGTTTTCCTTTTGCTTTAGCAAAAATGTATTAACCCAGAGCTGCAGCCTATCTCTCGGAGAAATGGTCCCCGACATCTTCGTTTGCTGGCCGGGGGCCCCCCCCCTTTCAACTCCACCCTAGCGCGCCTCGGGGTCAACCGTTCGAAAACACTGTAAATATCAGTGTTTTCAGCTCTTCCAGTCCTCAGCAGTGACAAAAAATCATGGAATTTACAGCGTTTTTTGTGGCTGTCTCGCAAAAAACACCGCAAAAACCGATGGTTTTTGATGCGTCTCGGTTAGAAAAATGACCGAAAAAAGACCAAAAGCCAGGAAAGATTTTGTCAGAAAGGGTTTTTGAGGCTTTTGGAGGCTTCAAAATTGCACAAAACTATGGTATTTACAGGGTTTTGTGCACCTTCCCGGCAGAAAACGCCGGTATTTACACGGTTTTCTGCGCTTTTCCAGCGCTCAACCGTGGTGCGCCTTTGGATCGACGGCTACAAAATACCGTAAATACCAGTGTTTTCAGCTCCTCCTGTCTTCAAGCATGGCCTTAGACCTTGCCGCGGCTGTGGATCGACGGCAACGAAACCTCGTAAATACCAGTGTTTTTGAGCACGTCCTGTTTGCAAGCATGGCGTGCGGCCACGCAATTTACAGGGTCGCCGCACGTCACTATGTAAATCCGAAGTTGCATTTGAGAAATATGTGACTCCTTTTGAAGGCACGTCAACCTGTATTGAAACCGCTAGACCGCTACAGCTTCTGGAGGTTTTGTCAAGCGTTTGTGCATTAGTCTTTCTTTCATCACGCTCACTCACTTCTCTTCAAACAAGTGGGGGCCTCTCACCTCCTCCCGGATTACGCCTGATTCCCTGCTACCTTTCGTTCACCCCCCTCCTCTCTCAAGTCTCGCGTGTGAAGAGAAGCCGGGCAGAAAGGGACTTCGAAAGAAGAGAGATGTGAAGAAGGGGTGTCAGGAGGCGCCAGGAGTGGAGACAGCAAGAGGACGGTCAAGAGAAAGGGATCTGAAGAGGAAAGGGACATCAGGAGAAAAGAGATGAGGAGGAAGGAGTGTCAAGAGGGATGACGTCGGTGAAAGAAGGTTTCCAGAAAAAGGGGCGTCAACACTGGGACGCCTGAGACCAACTTGCCCCAAGTTCAGGTTTGCCACCTCATTCCATAGGCATATTTTTCTTTGCTCCGATAGGCCTATAGGCCATTGTTTTTGAAACCCTCCCAGCGGGTACCACGCCTGGGTACCAGTACCACTTGTAATGATGTGGGCCCTTCATGGGCCGACCTGCAGGGCATCCACGCACAGCTTCAACAAATGCCAGACACGACCCGCCGAGACTGCCAGCCACTGCCGGTCGAAATGGCCAGCCCCCCCCCTTTCGCGGTGACCGAGACACTCGGCAGTCCTGGCTGTCCCGTCTATACGGGTCGTGTCTGGAGTCTGGCTTTGTCGGACCGATCGAGTTGGAACCGCTAGACCGAGTCGTGTTCAACCTGTGACCAAGTCCAGTCAAATGAGATTGCCTAGGTGTTTTTGGACCGACCCGCTGTGCCACTTCAACACGTCAACGTCGCCCCAGGTGCAGGTGCTATCCTCAGAGGTCCTTCGGCTGCTGGTCGAGCACGGAGAGGCGGTGGCGACTGGGAACTGGGAACTGGCTGTTGTTGCGTTAAAGAACACCCGGGGTTCAGGTTTTCATCCTCCGAACTAATGCATGGAGGACAGCAAACATAATCAAGGTCATTAGAACCTCGAACTCGACAAAAGTCAGCTAAGGACTCGAGCAAACCAAGTCGCTGATCCTCACTTTTGTGTATCTTGAGTCTCGCCCCACCAGCCCCTCAGCATCCAAAAACACACATCGAAGATTCCACACGATTTTGGACATACCAGCAGTTTAGGTGGGTCAGGTCACCGAACGTTCGGCTATCCCATTCCCAGGTCCATGTGGGTTCCAGTTCCGGTCATGACCACGGTGAAGTCTTCCGATGACCTGCTTGGCAGGTGCCCCTCGACGAGGCCGCCGAGGCGTTTTTGGTGCTGGGGGTGAAGCTCCGAGGGTGTTGGGGGGACCGGAAGAGGCGAAGAAGGATGGCTTTAAGGTGAGTAAGTTCATCAACAAGAGGCGATGTCATTCAGTGTTAAGAATCTTCTATTTGTAATATTTTGTAATGATCATTTAAACCCAGTCTAGGGCCATTTTTTGTTGGAGTGTCACTTTCAACCATGAGGACCGTAGGACCGTGTCCCGTGTTCGGCGCGGCACGCAGCGGTCGCAGCAGGCGGCGGTGCGCGCGAAGCGGCTCTTCCCCGCGGAACGCCGGGTGCACATGGCAGCCGATCGGCTGTTGAGTGTGGCTCCCAAGACATGGTGAGTTTGGGCGCCTGAGTTGCGGAGTTGTTGAGCTTTTTTCCACAGACTTGCGAGTTGTTGGGTTAAAAAGTCAATGGTGACTAGTGACTATGGGTTGGCTACACAATACAATATACTGAATTGAAGTACTTGTGGGCATCTCGAATCGATAACGCAACATGCCCATTTCGGATACATCTCTCCACGCGCTGTGCTTGCGCGCTTAAGCGAGTGCGGAGGTGTGTGCACTGTTGGAGTTGTTGGGCCACGCAGACAGCTGTAGATAGTGGAGAACCTGGACAGAATGAAAGGGCCACTTCTGACAATGAGGGGATTCCTCCAACACCTGGATTAAACACCATTGGTTTGCGTTCCACTTCCGGAGTGTTTTTTGTTTGGCTTCCAATGTGGCACCAGATTTTGAATGGGCAAGCTGCATGGTGAACTGCGAATCGAACACCACCTCTGTGGAGTTCGCTGCAAACATTCAGTTTCACATCCTTATCATGCTATTGTTGAAGCTTGATGCAGAATTTTCCTTTGGGGCATTCAAGGACTTTCATCCATGTACTATGACTTCCGTCATCCACGTCTGCAAAGTAACTCCCAGACGCTCCATGGGACTGGTATAGATGCCGAGAAACGGCCAGGGGTGGTGCCATGAGGGGTCAATGTAGGCATTCATATATTGCATACATGGAGCGTTTGGGGATGTCAACACACCATTTTCCATGGGGATCCCATGCAGAACGGATGTTTCATTTTTTCAGGCGGGGTGGCCAGGTCCACTACGCCCCCCCCCCCACCATCTATAGATTATTGGGAGTATTCCTGGAGTATGTGAGGATTGGACAAAATCTATGGTTCAGGTCGCCCCCCCTGGTTGATTCAGAATGGAAAGAGGAAGGGGGGTGACCCTGACCTTTTTCGAAGAGGTAGCCAGAGATTTTGTCCGTCACTCATATAGAATACGGACAAGTGGAAAACCCATGGGCATTAAAACGGTGTTTCGGATTGGTACATATTCATATACGTCTTCTTGTTCGATAGCCAATCATACCTAGATCTTCTAACTATGCCAAATTTATGCGTTTTAAGCTGCTTTTATGGATGAAACGGCAGGACATTTGGCATGGTTGGAAGATCTAGGTATAGTCTCGGATTGCCCATGAAATCTCATAGGTCGCCATCCATCTCTGAAAAATGGCCACACTCCTCAGGTGTTTCGCTGGATTCTCGACTCCAGACACGACAGAAACGGAACTGCCGGGTGGTGGATTGACCCGGGGTCGGTGACCGTTTCGACCGGCAGTTCCGTCCCAGACGTGTCGCGTCTGGGTACCCCCTGTTTTGCTGGGTACCCCCTACTCCCTGTGTTGGTTTCGTTGGTGCATCTGGGTACGCCCCTACTGAGCTCTCCCATCGCCCCTCCGGTCCGCCTTCGCCAGGCTTCGCCGTGCCGCGCTCCGCCCGAGCCCAGAAACGTACTCCGGTGGTGGTTCGTTTGGTTCGGTGGATCGTTTGGGGGTTTGTTTCGGGCTTGTTTTGGGTTTGTTTGGTGATTCATGGTAGAAATGTCCTGAACTGACCATATTAGCCAGTGACCGGTTCCCAACGTTCACCATTGGCGGCCAGTGGTCAAACAAGGGCCGCGTTGCATCGTGCATTTTCGAGTAGCAAACCTTTTTGGGTGTAAACTATGTAACCGGACGGAACGGGGGGGAGCGACTGTGTGCACGGGGTCATGGAGTCATCTTGTCGTAATAGAGTAGGATTCCCAGCAGTTGTGTCAGAAGATATGATATACACTCCCTGAAACGGTCATTCATGGACGTGAACATCTTCCGAATACCAAAGAGGTGGTTTTCACTCCACTTCCATGATTTCAGAGAGTGTACCGATATTTGATATTTGTGCACACAGTAACACTAATCCCCTACCTAGTGCTCTAGTGCTCGACGGCTGGCTGAAGCAATCGACTGCCCAATAGGACGTTTGGAACTCGGATTTGCTCCGTTGTAGTCATCAATTCGGACTGTGGGTTACAGTACCTGGGCCATACACAGCATCTTGTGAGCTTGTGGAAGATTCTCCGTTGCGCCAAGGCTGCCTGCATTGGTACTTTGATGGATGCTTCGACCAGAGATGCAACTTGACCTGACGATAGTCAGGTGAGGTTTTGTTCAAGAGTTTTGAGTGTCCATCTTCCGTCTACTCCAGGATGACTGCAAGCGATCAAAACTCATAATACCCCCCAAAACAGTCCCAAAAACTACTCCTCGAGAAGCTAAGCTGAAGTTAGGCATTTTAAAGGCCCTCAGAATGGATCCGAGTTCATAAGAGTGCTTTCAGATGAGCTGTCGAAGCATAGACTGGCAAAACGAGGACATCCTATCTGAAGCACCAGACCAGAGAGGCTCAGATGTTAGAGCACACCGATACTTGTTCCCACAGGCTATTTTTGGTTAAGGTAAAATAGTACAAGACAAGATCCTCCACAAATTAACACTATCACTATAGAATGCCCAACCCCTACCCATAATTCCCAAGGGGGGCAGTACAAGAATGTACAACATAAGAAAAACACCCGTGGTCCTGGGCCTTCTGCAGATTCCTCCCCTCCGCCCCTCCTTTGTTCCGTCTCAGCGAAAAATCCGCCGAAAAGGAGATGGCACAGCGGAGTGGCATTTGCAGCCTGGGCACCGAACGTGAGGGCGGGATAGGGCGGGTGAATTGGGCTCTTTGGTGCACTATGGTGCCTTGAGAGACAAACTTGAAGATCGTTGAACCCGGTAAATTTTGGAAGTTGAGGCTGAAGAGTTCTATGTGGTTGATAGATGTTGATAGACTCTATTTACTAGGACCTTCCAAGAGGTGGTTTTTGGACACCCCTTAACTTCCCTCAACATCTATGAGGCTACTCAAAGACACCTCTTGGAGGGTCCTGGTATATGTCTTGGATGGATTCTGCAGAACTCCCTGTAATCTCAGAGAGTTTGAGGGCCTAAAAGCCACCCCAACAGTAACCAAAGCCAACCACTCCCAAACACCAACCGGCTCCCAAACGGACATGTTCAGCTTTTGGGCACTTCGATCCTTTGAGGAGACTCTCCATCCTCACCCTCCCCCCTGACCCTCCTTCCCGTCCGACCCAGCAGCCCCTCTCGGATCACCGTCACCCTCCTTTTCACTGCGTTGTCACACCGCACGGGGGCAAAGCGTCGCGAGGTCTGGGCCACTTGGCCAAGCACGGTGGTGTGGCCTGGCGTTTCTTGGCGGCCTGGTGCGCGGATCTACCGGAGCAGTGCCGTTGAGGACTTTTGACTATAGGGTCGAACGTATAGGAACTCTATACAGGGTTTCTAGAGCCTATCTGGTTTGAGGCTGGGTCTTTGTTTTCTTTCTCGCACATGTCCACCCGTGGGGATGAACTCAGGTGGTGCTGGCACCGTGGCGGTGAACCGCATCTTGCGGGCCTTGCAACATCACAAAGGCGCGCACCGGTGAACGGCGCGCCGCTCCGCACGGGGCGCGACCACCAAGTGGTACGCCGCCCCATGGGCCCCCTGGAGGGTGTTGCTGGTATGGGTCACTTCATGTTGCTTCATGCACAAGCGAGCCCTGTACCAAGCATGGTTCAAGCGACTTCTCATCCTTCCGTGCTTCTCATCCCACCCAACACGCCGCACTCCTTCCGCAGCCGTCGCGCCTCGCGGCCGGGCGCCTCGGTTCTGCCCGTTTCCGCCGAGGCAGTGCAGTGCTCCAGGCGACGGGCTTGTGGGCGCTGGGACGCCTGGCAGAACGCGTGGAGCCCAGCCAGGGCGGCATGCAGGACGTGGTTGGAGCGTTCCGCGCGTCCGCCCGGCGATGGAGAGCGTGGTCCAAAGCGCATTGGTGCGTTGGAACAGCGCGTTGTTTGGGCGGCTGGGTTTGTGTGTTGTGGAGAGGGGTGGAGTGCCTTTGGCACAAAGGTCGGTGTTGAGGGAACTCCAATGACATGTGAAAGCCCAAGGTTCTGACAAGCGAAGAAGTCTGAACACGTGAAGAGGGTGACAGCTTGAGTTGGTGCTATTTTTGTCCAGATATGCAGCGCCCCGACCCTCAATAGAAAGACAATAGGTGACTGCAAGCGATGTGCCAAAAACACGACCAGTTGACTGCCCTCCCGCCTCTCTTCTCTGGCCAAATCGCATTTCTACAAGCTTCTTCTGGGGGGATTTTATGCAGGAAGTGCCGAGTGCCAGCCTGTTATGGTCGCTTTCCCATCATCTCTGCACGAGCAGAACGACGACCCGAATCCTGCAGGACGCAGCTCGACGTGCCAAAGAATGGCATCCAGAGAGTGCGCTGGTACAGCGCCATGCAGTCCGGGTTCCTGCATCGCCTCGGTGGTTCTTCTGGTGGGTTCAGCTCCAATAGCTTCTGGGAACGACCACTTCTGTAGTGCCAAAATGCCTAGGAAAAAACACCAGCAATCACAAGGTTAGGGGTGCGGGGTGCTTCATGGAGGTAGTCGGGGTGCCCAGAGCATCACATCCACTCACGTAAGGCAACTCCCGAGCTCTGTGACTCCTGGAGATGTCTTCGGGATTCAGGCCTCTTCAATCAGCCGGTTGAAGTCCAGCTTTCCAACCTTGTGTCCCTTAGCAAGGTACTTCATGGTACTCCCCCCTCCCTAGCGTTTGGACTCCGTGTTTTTTCAGCAGATGTCGCAGATGATCATCCTTGGCTGCTGTGGCAACCAACGTCATAAGCCAGGGGGGACCCCGCTTGTAGCTCGGTCGTAATAAGGTTTGGGATGCTGAAGACCTCCTCTTCGCTGAGGATGACCTCATCGGTTTTCTCCAAAGACGAGACGCGCACTGAGCGGCTAATGATTGGCTAATGGCCTCGCTGCCCCTGTAGGGCTTTCAAAGCTTCAGAGCCCAACAGCAAAGGATGCAGCGTAAAAAACACAGGACCCTGCGGAAATAAAAGCACCGGAAACTCAGACTTGGTCACGGATATCTGACAAAAAGTTGTATGATCGCTTCGAAATGGCTCAGGGTTCACATTGAAGTTTAAGCATTGTTTCTTTTGTCACATCCATGCAGCACACCAAGACACACCCCAAGTTGCTGGGAAGACCTCCTCAAGTCGCTTGCGGAGAAGCTTGACCTCCAGCGAACACACACACATACACACACACACACACTTAGATCAGTGCTCGCACGAGCTATATCAGTTGCGACATGTTGCGACATCCCCGAGAGCTAGTTACTGTGTGTTGTGGGTCGTGGCGATTGCGGTTGTGGTTGTTGTCGTTGCTGTTGGTTCTCGTTGCTGTTGTTGTGGGTTGATCCGAACTCGAGCTCGAACTGGTCCACCCCCCCTTATAAGTCCCTTAGTCGCCGATCCGAACTCGATCTCGAACTCGAACTGGTCCACCCCCGGCCGGCTCTAATTGTTGTCGATCCGAAATCGAACTCGAACTCCAACTCGAACCGGTCCACCCCCCCCAGCTCTATAATCGTGGTCGATCCGAACTCGAACTCGAACCGGTCCACCCCCCCCCGGCTCGATAATTGTGTTGTCGATCCGAACTCGATCTCGAACTCGAACTCGAACTGGTCCACACCCCCCTCTCGCTCGATCCACGCAATCTCGCGCATCGAACTCGAACCTGAACTCGAACTTGAACTCGAACTCGAACGGGATCAGTTAGAACCACCTGGGGCACGGCCTGGTTTTCTTTGAATCTTTTGGCTCCAGGCGACCTCATTATGGAGGTCCCACAACTCATCAATCAACTGAATGCCCTTGCCCAATTTGGTAGGCTCACAGTCGCTTGATGCCGCTGCTGAACGGGCACGGTTCACTGCAGGCATGGCTCAAGAACATTCCAGCAAATGCAACAGGCTGGGGGCACAAAACAGACTCAAAGACTGGCAGCAGATGCAGCAATACAAAGTCTAAGAAGGTTTGAACTCAGTGACAATTCAATGTCTTCAAAAATTTCACAAATTCAATCACCTCAACAGAACCTCTATGACAAACAAAAATCAACGCACAAGACAAGATGCCCATTCCCGTGCCCACTCAGGCAGTGACTCACCAAGGATCTTGATGCCATCCACCAATGAGCTTTGTTGAAAGCTGGCAAGGAACTGTGCTCTGTTCTGTCACCCAGCAACCTGCTTGATTTTTAGTTGCTGATGCATTGAACACAACTTCTTTGTTTGCTGCTTGCAACACTCCTTTGTTTCCTTTTCATGAACACCATAGTCAAAGAAAGTCAAACGCTACTTACTGCACAGCCTTTACAACATTTAGCATGGGACACCAACTTGTGACCCTCAGGAATCCGGCCCCTTAGCCACGGCCAGAGCCTTGGCCATAGCCACATGGGCTGCGTAAGAGAGTTCTTGGAAGCCACGGCCAGCCGCTACATGACCGGTGCGCCGCGACTGGGCACCATGCGGGGAGCTCGTTAAGGTGAGAGTTGCTACCACCCGACCAACATGGGTTGTTCGCCCATTTGTTTAGAGGCTATCCCAGTTGGGTACCTCAGGTTACGAATCCTATCATTGATTAAGGTCACTTGTAACCTCTCTTGGGAAGGAAAAGGACTCAGGTCGCTTGTGGTGTGCTGGATCTGATTGAGCTGATCGACCACCAGTTCGGGCATTTGGGAAAATCCTCGAGATTTTTCGGTCACCTTTCAGTCGGACCAGTTTTGGAATGTCTTGGAATTGGTCCAGGACCGACTTCCAAGCACATACCATCCACACTCCATCTGACCAGCAACCTTCCCACCTAGTTACACCTCCTCCTTTCACACCAACAGAGGTCTTTCAGGACCCTTTTCAGTGTTCGATACTAGTTCGACTATCCCATCGTTCGGTACTCCTGGACTGAAGCTCTCTGGCAGGTTCTGCCGGGCTGGCTGGATGGAGCAGCGTGAACTCGCCTGACTTGTGGGGAGCAGACGGACAGACACACCGTGAACGCCAGAGTACTGCCGTCAGTGGATGAATCTGGCCCAAGAACTGAGCCGTTTGCGGGACCCGGGACGCCGAGTTTCTCGTGGATTAGGCGAAGGGAAGGAGAAATACATGGACCACGCTGACTTGTCCTGGGGCCCTGAAGCTGGGTGTTTTGTTATTTTTTGCACGTGGAGTGTCCTATTCAAAAAGCCGATGATACGCCGCCGCCGAATGCGACGGTGATTGGCCGAATCCTCCCAGTCGACGATGCACCAGCTTCGTGTTCACCAGTCCATGTCCAGTCCTCATAGTACTACAATAGTATTGCTAGTCCCATGTCCTCCTAGTGTTCTGCTTCCACCTTCGTGTTCCAGTCCTCCACGTCCTCGTAGTGATGTCTGTGAAGAATGAGTACAGTGAAACACATTTTTGGGGCCTCTTTTTGTGGCCAGTGTGCTGGTACAACACCGGTTTCAACTGGGATAGCCGATATAGCCTATATATGGGCTTCTGAACAACCTCTGTCAACCCAGACACATGGCAGCTGAAAAAGAACCTCTCTTCGACCTCCCAGCTGCTTCGGGCTCGAGATCCTCTAGACCCTCATGAAGTCTGAACACGGTCCCGTCCTTCGCCGGTCCAGCGCCCTCTCCAACACGGTCAGGAGATGGGTGTGTAGCGAACAAATAGGGAGACCTTTTGGCCCCCGGTGTAGGCGTGGCGACCTCCCCAGGCGTGGCAACAGTGTACCAAACCGGAACATCGACCAGTCTACCCAGCGAGAAAGGGATGAAGTGGCGAGAAAGGAGAGTCTCCTGGATCCATACACACTCATATGAGATGAGGGGACAAAGGAGTGACCCAACGGGGTGGTCTGCCACGCCCCGCTTTCTTTTTTCCTCATCCGACCATTTTTGTTCTCGCACCGAGGTCGGCAAGGATGCTGCGCGACTGCTTGGGGGAGGTGCAGGCGGAACCCGGGGGCTTCTGTTTTCACTCAAGCTAGGCTTTTGTCACATAAGGCTTCTCACCCACCCCTAAAAGAAAGACAACATGAAAGGATGGGGACTTCCGCTTTTGCCGAAGGTGACAGGTCCATCAGTGTTTAACCCATCGCCATTTTGGGCCTCGAAACAGATCCAGCAAGACGTGGTGAGAATGTGGTTCGACCAAGTGCGCACAACACACGCCTTTTATTTTTTGCGAACACATCGATTGATGGATGATTAATGTTGTTTTTCATTGTTTTTCTAAAAGAATCAATCAACATTGTAACATCGATCTGTCCTCTTCTTGCTTTCCTAAAGACTTCTTTGACAATTCAATCATCATCGACTGAGTTCGGATCTTTGGAAGGTTCTTGTTCGACCTCACCTCAACTGCCCCCCCCCCCCGCAGACTCGGCACCGAACCAGCCGAACCGCCCAGGCTGAACCGCCCAAATCCGCCAAACGACCGGAACGGAGAACCTCGATCGGTTCCGCGCTCGCTCGGGGGTCCGAGACTTTTGCCGTCCGCGACGCGAAGCTCGGCACGTTCGGCGCCCTCCGCGCGCAGCGACCTCCCTTGGCTCCAACGACCTGCTTTTGTCGATGTTGCTCCACTTTGATGGGCTGTGTGTTTAGTAACAAGTTAACTTATTTAAGATAGTTAGTTAATCATTTAATAATCAATTAACAAATTAGCTAAATGATTAGCTAATTGGTTAACTAAATGATTAGCTAAATGATTAGCTAAATAGTTAACTAAATAAAACAGCGATTTTCTGATCATAAAAACAATAATCTGGCAAGTGAAACTGCATACGCACTACAGGTGAAACACTGCATTGCACATGAATTCTTGCCATATAGCAAGTGCCAGCATGCAACAACAAAACAATAGTGAAGCCATGAACAGGCTCGCATTGTTTCCATGAATTGGCAATGCTGATTGCATGAAAGGCCTGTGATGGCTGCATGAAAAGCTTGTAATGGCTTGCATTGTGACCATGAATTGGCAGTGCTGATTGCATGAAAGGCCTGTAATGGCTGCGTGAAAACCTTGCAATGGCTGCGTGGAAAGGTTGGGCTGGTTGCATGCATTGCAAGCATAGCTTGTAATGGTTGAAGGTTCCATGAATTGGCATTGCTGATTGCATGAAAAGCTTGTAGTGGCTGCATGAAAAGCCTGCAATGGTTGCAAGAAAGGCCTGTATTGGCTGCATGGAAAAGCTGGGCTGTTTGCATGACTTGCAGGACTGGGGTAGAGTCTGCACAAAGTCAATATTGCTAATGGAAAACACACCAAGTCTAAAGCAGGCCTTGTTATCTCCATGGTAATGGAATCAGGGTGGTGATCTTTGCACCATTTTGAGCATAGAGGCAAGGTGTTAAAACCTGCACAAGGAAATTGCAGCAGATTGGTCAGCAAAGCTTTGCCATACAGCATACTCATTCCTTGCACCAATTTCCAAACATTCAAACAAAGATACCAAACACATGGGTTGCCCAGCATCTAAATGCAATTGAAGTTTTCCAGCAGTCCACTTCCTGGTGCCATGTGCAATGTCCCGCAAGACAACATCACCTTTGGAGCAAGTCACACCATGCTTCAGCCAGGCTACTTGGCTTGTAGTGACCAAACCAACATTGACAAGCGGCGATAAATGCTGCACTGTGCCAACCAGCTTGGAAGGCAGCTTGTGGGGCTTCTTGAGCTGGTACTCCAAGGCAGCAAAGGGGGTATCAAGGCTCAAGACATTGAGCTCTTTTGCAGTAACCTCTTCCATCACACTTTGTTCCAGCTGCCTTGTGTTGGCAATGGCATTGCCAATTCTGGAAATGAACCGATGCTTCCTTTCCATGGCCCAGCATGCCACCATGATATTGTGATTCCTGAAAGCTTGGCCCAAATGCAAGAGCCAATGATGTTTTTAATTGTTTTTTGATAACTTTCCAGCCAATTTGTGTCCGCAAAGCCAATGCCCTCTCTGCAGCATCTTGGATGGCTTCAGCAGTGATGGGCAAAGACCAAGTGGATTGCAGCAAATCCACCAAATGAGCCAGTATTTGGATACAATGGGCTTCCTGGACCATGCAGTCAATGCAAACCTTCTTCAAGAAGTGCACCAACATTGGAAGGACTGTGAGTAGCTCACTTGCAGTGCAACTGAATTTTTCAGCCTGCTTGTGTTTTTGCACTCTGCTCTCTGAAAACAAAGTTGTCACCTTGATGCCTGCATGCTGCCAATGGGATGGAATTGTCCACTGGCCAACATATTCACCAAATTGTTTCCAACACTGCATGCCTTCCAGCATATTGAAGACACCCAAAGAAAGAATCCCATTGCTCATCACGCAGTGCATCCAGTCATGCTTGTATTGCTTACAAGGGTCCAGGATTGGTCTCAAGGAGGTGTCTGCCAGCATTGCCTCCTCATTGTAAGTGATGCCAGTTGCCTGCTCCCACATTTTGAATTCTGCTTGTGAGCAATTTGACCTTCTCTTTGTCATTCTATCCCAAGAAGAAAAAACTTCTTGGGATTCTGTGAGCTCAAGCTGGCTGAATTTGGTGTATTTGCTCACTTCATTGACACCTTCTTCATTTTGCTCATGAGAAAAGACATTGCGGCACAGGCCACAAAATCTACTTCCAGCATCACCCTTTGAAGACCAGCAGTGCTTGTGGGCTGCTCCATCCTGCACTATGAAATTTGTACATGCTTTCTTGCATGTTCAGCAGGGCACCCAGCAGGTCCTTGAAGCAGCAGACCTAGATCAACTGCATCCACCTTATCCCACTGGAAAATCATTTTCAAACTGATTTTGAGAATCTGTGACATGCCACCCTGCACTTTCTTAACAATGGAAGACCTCAAGCAGGTCAATGTAACCCATGCCCTTTCATTTTGCAAATGCTGTCCAGCTTGGACAATTGCTCCATAGACCACCCAGCACTTTCTGGGGGTGGTGGCTGCTAATGGGTTGCCAGGGCATATACTTCATCTGTGTATAGTATGAGGCCAAGTGGCCCATCCACATTCTTCAAGAGCTCAAACATGGAGCCTCCTGCTTTGTAGGCGGCATGCAGAAAACTGTGCAAATTGAGGAATGGCAGAAGCTTTTTTGAGTCATCGCACATGACTACAGCTTGATCTACCAACACTGGGCCATGAGCTGTGGCAGTAGCCAAAGTTGCTCTGTTGGCTTCTCTCATATGCTTTGCTGTGCGCAATTGAACACACCCTTCTTTTTGCACCCAGGATAGAATTGATTCCAAAGCACTTTTGGATACATAGGGCACATGATTTCTCAGGTCTTGAAGTTTTCTCAACTTCTTTGCCCTGTCATCCATGGCTGTGAGCTGGCTAAGATCACTTGCAGCACACAAGTGCCTTGTGTACAACTGTCCACTTTGTGGGAATCTATCATGTGTGCATGCATTACCTTGGTGCATGCATGTGGCATTGCTGGCTGCTTTGAATAGAAAATTGAAACCATATAGATTGAAGGCAACAGCAACATGAAGGCTTGTATTATGTGTTAAAAGCCTGCAAAGGCAGCAATGGAAGGCCATGTAGTGTCTACGCGACCCTGTGGTGATGAAATGATTGCAGGATTGTATGCTTTTGCATATTACAGGACTGTATGCTGAGTTTTACAGTGCTGGCTTCTATTGCCAACACAAAAAGATCACATGGCCTGTATTGGCTTCCATGACATTGCTTGATGACTTTCACATTTTGGCCTGTATTGGCAACGCATGACATCATGTACTTGCAACGGTGAAAGCATTTTCCCCAAGTTTCATGACAATGCTGTTGAAGCTTTGCGCAATCTCACATTTCCATGACACTGCTTTCTTGAGCTTTGTCCACCCAAAAGATGCCAGCGTAGGGTTTCCCATGCAGCAACTTTAAAGCTTCCAGCCATGTTTTCTGGCCAGGGCAAGCCACTCCTGCCTATTCATTCTTGGGCCAGAATAATTAGGGTTGCGGCAAGCTTTACATCCTTTGGATGTGCCCCTGCAAGTCTTGCAGCCCAGCTTGAGCACACCAGAAGGACCAGCAGGAGTTGGTGCAGCCTTTCCTTTGGTCTGTGCTTTTGCTTTGGCCTTTGCCTTTGCTGCAGCAGGCCACTTCATCAGTTTCTTGTTCTGCAAGGAAGCATAAGTTTCAGCCTCATAGTCTTCCAAAGGCTTTTCCTCACCAGGCTCCTTGTCATTGGTTTGTGCTTCCACAGGCCCAGCAGAAGCTGCAGCCAGTGCAGGGGTTGTCCCAATGGCATCCAACAGAGGCAAAGCAGGTGCTGCAGCTGGAGCTGAAGGTGTGGTGGCAGGCTGACTTCCAGGAGAGGCACCTTTCTTTTGCTGCGTTCCTTCAGATTGGCCTGGCATCAGGATCTGCAAGTCAGGGAGCAAGTCTTCTTTCTTGGCACCACCAGCACCAAACACCCCACCCAGCAAGCATCTGAAGGCAGCTAATGCATCAGAAGGAGTTGGCCCAGCACTGGGCTGCAAGGGGGCCTCCTTGCTTGCAGTAGCCTTAGTGGCAAGAACATGAACACACACACATTGTTTGCACATACTAATACCTGTTTGCACTGTTGTGTGGGCCTGTATTGGCAATCTACATTGATCAATATGGATCCAAGTGGCTTTGACACAGCAGCTTGGCCCAGCACCCCAGCCAACTCTGGGACAATGGCCAAAGCAGGAGTCTCATCACCATAGGATGCCTTCAAGTGCTCAGCAGGAAGATCCAAAGGGTTTTCTGGTTACACTGCCAAAGCAGAGGCACCAGCAGGCACAAGCTGGGAACTATTCAGGAAGGTATTTGCCAAATGCCTGGAAAGAACATAGCAAGCATCACTGCTCATTGGTGTGCCAGCCCTTTTTGTGCTCCAGCAGTGCCAAGAAAGCAGTTGCTCTCTTCTTTGAACTTTCCTTCAAGCTTTTCACCCAAGCTTTCTGAGCCTGACTGCCACTATG